CTGTTTATTTTTTTGCAAGTACCTTCAAGAGGCTTACCCCAGCTCAAACACTGCATATGATTATCAGTAAAGTTGCCTGCCAGAGAGCTTGGGTTGTCTCCTGTAGCTGCCCCATTACCTGTGAGCTCTAAAACCCTCAAATATAATTTCAGGCAGGCTGATGTGCTTATGGCCCTTCAGTGATGATGGTCACTCATCTCCAACCTCTAGCTAAAGGGGATTTAAAGCTCCTCAGGCCTATTGTGGCCAGCATTACCATGTGCTGTCTGTCTGCGCCCATTGCTCCTCCAGCCTAATGCTCATTGGCCGGCTGCTTCTCTCTGGGCCGGAGCTCTGTCTGGTTGACAGCACAGCTCAATCTTCTCTCAGAATGGACAGGGACCTCATCTGCCCATTATTGGAGCTTGTAATGGCCAACCTGTCAGAGAGATGAGCACCCTACAGTACAATCTATCTTTATCTCTGTCTTTTGTATTTTTTATTAGTCCATGTAGAGTGATAAAATTAATAAAACAGGTTTTCCTCAGGCAAACATCCACAATAGTTCACATCCAAAATGGCAGAGAAACTAATACCAGTGCCGTTTATGTGGCAGCACATGATACATAATAGATATAAGTCACTAGAGAAGGGAACAAACTGTGTAGGTGGATACAGTACACTGGTGTCATGCCTGTTTAAACAGAGTGAGCACGCTTCAGCTCAGGTGTATGACACTGATCTTTTATTTGTTAGATTTATGTTAAAGTACCGATGAGCAGGGTGGACAAAATGATCATCATAATAACAGTCAAAGCTTGAAATTTTCATATTAATACTATACGTCAGGACATTTTGTGCACTATTTAAAATCAAAACGTTTGCATGGAGTTTTCTGAGTGTGTTTTTACTACTGTATAGAGTAAGTTAAAATGATGTGTTCTACAGAACGCAATTTTTTAAATACAGTTAAGTTAATACAGTGAGTCAGATTTCGGTTGACTTCAACAACTTATTGGTAATATAGAATATATTTATAATATAAAATATATTATCAAAATTATGAACCACAATATCTCAACATGCAAATCTAAGCACAAAGATATTTGGAGAGATGATAAAGGGTAATATTAAATTATCATCCAGCCCTCTGTGGTTTTATTTTCTCTCCTCTGGCAAGCAACAGAATGCGTTTTGTGCAACAGAGTCCATACAGGAACAAAAAGGGATGAGGTGTAACCTGTTGTTTTTGGCTGGACCCACCATTGATATTGTAGGAGTCCAGTTTAATAAGTCTTCTGCTTGTGTTTGTGACCAGGGTGCTGGTATGAGTGTATTGGTATTACCAACTGAGTGTGTGTTGCAGCAGCAGCTAATTTTCATACATGTTGGACCACAATGACAGTGGTTGACTTAATTTCTCAATGGTTTGCTGGCTCTATGCTTTGAGGAGGTAATTAAGCAGTGCATTTTCCAATGAGGCGGTTTGATGATTATAGCAGCAGAGACTACGCAATTATACAGTACACGGGAATCATTTTAAATCCCTAAATACTGTACAGAATGAGAATTCAGGACAAATAATGGAAGTTGCATCAGAAATTTTTTTTTTTCCCCTGAAGAATATATTTTTTAATGGATTCACAAAACCAAAAAAAGGACCTTACTGTGTAGTATAAGAGGTAACAAATATTTTTTGGAATCCCCACATGAAGCAATATGAGTCTTATTGATTTCTCGCTTTGTCTTTGGTGTTTTTTTTTTTTTGTTGTTGTTTCTAAGCTCTGAGTAGAGAGGGCTCTGTCTGTAATGCCATGAATCTTCCAGAGAAAGGGGCAGACCCCGGGAGCACTACCACACATTAAGGGAATGAATATTGATTTAAAAACAAATTTGACATGGTGTTTAAATCGACTTGAAAAATGCATTGCAGTCAGAGGTTTATAGTCTGTCAATGAAGCAGAGAAAACTTCGCTCTTGTTTTATGGTTTAATAAGATTCCATTAATGGCTTCTTCCACCGGTGCTTATGCTATATACATTTTGTGGTGGCGGAGTGGGCCTGTCCCCGCTGATAAAAATAAAAATCCTCGGAAGCACTGTCCACCACTGTCCCTCTGAAACGGTGTGTGTGTGTGTGTGTGTGTGTGTGTGTATATATGTGCAAATATGTGTGGTATGTGATGTATGGATATGTGTGCAAATACTCACTTATGGGTCTCAGGTCTGAGGACTGCCTCATTTACAATTGAGGGATAATCACATTTTTTGTGTGTGTGTGAATTGCGGACTAATGAATTTTTCAGGATGAGGAGCTGAAGCCCAAAATGGCATAAACCAAACAAATATATATATATATATATATAGTTGCGTTATGATACAATCTGCAGATTTCACCTTCACATTCCACTTTGAGAAGTAGTTTTAAGTGTTGTTTGAAACTAAGCAGGATCCCTGATCCCTCAGAGGGCAGCCAAAATAAGACACCAGGCAATCTCACCAGAGTGCTTGGTTGGCATGGTCTGAGCTTCTGGGGCCAGGTTCGCCTGCTCAGTGGGCCAGTGGAAGGAAACTGCCTCTGGCTGCCTGCCCAGCTTTCAGCACGACAGAGACGGATCATATGGACGCCAGTGTTTTCCTTTCCTAATTGCTGCACATCAACACATCAATCCCACAGTCAGGATATTTCATAACAGCACAAGAGATACTTTGACAGTGTCAAAAGAAATGTGAAAATGTTTGGTTGGTAAACATTCAGTCAGGACACCGCGGGATCAGGCAGTGTGCTGATTGCAGTCACGTCTGATCTAATTGATATGTATGCTGTAGTGTGTGGGGATCAGCAATTGAATCTCAAACACCACAGTTAGTCACTGAAACCTGAGGCCACAATAGCTTAGTTTAATTGATTCATAACCTGAATCACATGATAAATACAAACAATGGCTTGCTCCCTGTTAACAGCGCCAACTGATCAGCCTACAAAATGGAGGTTCCCTGCAAGAGACTGGCCAAGCTGCAGTGTTGCAAATACTCACTTCCAGTTTGCTGGTCAAAATGTACAGACCCCACCCAGACTGTTTTCAGCTGTTTGGATTGAAGAAGTTTCCAGATGTTTTTTTTATTTTTTTATTATTATTCCTGACCAGACAGGTCTTAAGTCTTGTACCATAACGTGGTGTGGTGCAGTGCTGCTGTACTGTTGTCAAATAGTGTCGTCTGTGTCTCATTCTTACAGAGACACTGAATAAAATCAAAAACAAGTAGAGTGTGTCCCCAGCTTTACTGGTTGTTTAATGACACATAAGAAAACATTGTTTCGCTGAGAGATTTTGTCTTTTGTTTTAAAAATAGCATATTCCTGAAGTTCCAGTATAGATGGCACATCATGCACACAAATGAACAAATGAAAAGCATCAGGTTTGACGGTATAAAGAAAAAGAAGCATCTCTAAATTTGATATGTTTGACCATTATACCTTTTTCACAGAGATGTGTTACAGTCTTTCTCTCAAATTGTGATTGTGGCCGTTGTTTTTCATTACAAAGAGTTCTTTTCTGTGTGATGTAACAGACTGCTGTTAATGAAACCAATCTCAGGCTGAGAAAACAACATGAACCTGAAACACCGTCTTTGAAGATTCTTATTTTGACCTAACAACCCGCTCGCTTCAAACCTGCACTGAAATCCTTGGACTAGCAAACTCTTTTAGAAGAGATATCACGATTTTCTAATAAATTTTCAAGATGTCTTCTTTTTTTTTTATATATTTAATGACATGTCTCCTAAATGTCCTCCCACCAGAGTCTCAAGATCCATCAAATTTAATCACTGACTACACCTAAAACAAGTATGGCATCTTTTGTTCAGGCTGCTGTGGCTTCAGATTTATTTTTTATCTGGAGACTTAAACTAAAGCTTCAAACTCCAAAAATGCAGCGTATCCTTATTCATCAATAGGTCATCATAAAGGGTGTAATTATTTGATTGATGGATAGAAGTCAGTTTCTAGTAAATAAAAGTAAAGCCAATTAAACTAGACACACAGCATAAGTACATGTAGTATTTCAGCTTTGCACTTCAGACTAAAGAAGATCCTAATTGCTTTGAAATATTCAACAAAAGGCTTTTCCCGCTTTTCCTTAACTGTAAAAAAAAATGGTTGTATGGTGTGAAAGTGGGTCTTGCAATGTCTTAGGGCAGCAGGATAAGTAGTAATCCGTCGGGCAGTGCTCTGTTGTAGACTACAGATCCTATAGAGAGCCCCGGCCGCTGAGTCAGCCACAGTTCTTCCAGGGGTAGCAGACTAATCTCCCAATACTGTCTACCTCCACCCTTTCAGTGGTCCAAGTATCCGTCGTTCTACCTCTGGTTGCCCCTCCTTTCCAAGCATCCCAGTCCCCTGCGGCATCCCAAATCCCTTTTTCTTACTTGTTTTATAGGGTTTGCAAAGTCTGAGTCTGTTTAATGGGTCTTACTGCTGTTATTCTGTGTAATGCCCCAGAAAGAGTTCTTTAAATGCTGCAATTTCCAATGGAAAATGTTGTAATTGCTCTTTTTACTTTGACTAAGGCGTCATTGGTTAAAAAAAATGATGAAGCCTGTTGGGTTTAGGATAGCCCTCAGTAACCCATTGGATTATGTCACAAATATGTTGTCACCAGGCTGTAAATAAGGCTGCTTGTCTTAGTTCCAAAGGAGTTAACATTGTGGAGACACAAGGTGTTCACCCTGCAGTGAGGATCTGCTGGAGTTTGCGTTTATTTAATTTGATCCTGACTGCCAGACTGCAGCAGGCTAGCTAAGTGCTTTGCCATTAAGACTCTGTTCTGTGTTTAATTCTGCTACAGTGCTGAGGCTTATGGGTGTAATGGCAGGCTGCATACCGCCTGCTCTACAGTAAGTGTTTACCATCATGTGTTACTACCTTGCGAATAAGCAAATAGCTCCTCTGTGATCCTCTTAATTAAACCAATGGCTCTGGTCACCTGACATTTGATTCCCTGTGTTCTCCATCTGCAGATTTATAATGAGAAGAAGAGCCAGTTTGAAATCAAGAAAAACAACCCCAAGGACTTGGTGGAGAGAGTGGCACGGGACATCTCCAAGCTGCTCAACAGTAAGAGGAAAGCCCTGGAGGTAAGAGGATAATGCTCCACATATCATAACACCTGTGTATAAACTCGCACTGTGCACAGATGCACACACACACACACACTATGGATTTGACTTTCCTGAAAAGTCAAGTTTCTGTTGATACAACTAAACGCATTGTGTGTATGTGTGTGTGTGTTTTTCAAATGCCAATATAAAAAGATATATAAAGATACACAAAACACAACGTGATATTTTAACACAAATTTCATTACAAATCAACACCTCTGCCCTTAAAGGACCAGTATGGGGTATTTAGTGGCATCTAGTGGTGAGGTTGCAGATTGCAACCAACTGAATACCCCTCCCCTCACATCTCCCTTTCCAAGCATGTAGGACAACCTACAGTGGCCTTCAGGTGACGTACAAACGCGATAAACCCTCTCTAGAGCCAGTGTTTGGTTTGTCCTTTCTGGGCTACCGTAGAAACATGGCAGTGCAGCATAGCGAGCCCCCTATGTATACATGAAGGGTTCATTCTAAGCTAACAAAATACAACATTTCTTAGCTTCAGGTGGTTATACACTACTGAAAACATAATTAATGAATATTCTTTTCAATTTCTGCCAATAATAATGGCAGAAAAGGACTAAGTGGAATTTTTTCTTTTATTTCCAAGACATGTTAGAAGAATCTTCCACATCCGGTTCACGTGGGGACGATGAGACCGTAAATAATCAAAATAATTCCAAACAACTGGCAGGAACATTTGTCAAAAGTATGATTATCTATAACTGAACACTTTTTTCTGCACACTCTAAATTGGCCATCATCTTAATATTTTTCCCTTTGCAATCATCCAGCTCTTCTCTACTTTGTAGTATATATTTATTTACACTGTATTGAGCTCCCTTTCCATGTGGATAAAAAAACTGGATGATGGAGGGATATCGACTTCATTCCTTTAATTTGAACCATTGTTTTTGTTGAACTAGAATTTGAAGCTAATTATATTTTGTCAGTGACAAAAAAGGGAGATAATTGTCTTAATAATTTTTAATTTTTTTTTTTGTTCAGTAGTGGCAGCGTATTTTCTGAAAGATAGTTATTTAGTCTGTGAGAAGACGGGTTATTTCAGGGGTTATCATTTCAGTGTCCTGCTTTTGGGGATTGACATTTTAATTATTCCCACTGTTCTGCTCAGACAGTCCTGTGATTAGTTAAAATTTTGTTTTGCTCTCACAGTCAGGGAACCTCTAACCTCTCAGGGAAGAGAAGGGGAGGGGAGTGGGAGTGGGGAGGAGGTTCAAAGATGAGTGGAGTGACAAGGAGGGAAATGAGAAAAGCGTACACAATCAATAAAGTAAAGGAACATTCGTGCTAATTCTGAAAAATTGGATTTTAAAATCAAAATGTTGCTGTCCCCTGTTTAGGAGTCTGTCTCTCTGAGCATAAATAAGTTTTGCTCAAATCATCTTCACACTTAAAATTATGACGTGTTGAGAGCTTATAATTCTGAAATTACCTGATTAGAATTCCTATTATTTGCCATTTAAAGCTTAAATTGTCCTTCTTTTTCCTCTCAGTGGCGGTTAGGCAGTCCTTTTAATCAGTTTGGTGATTCTCATCATCTCCACCCACTTATACACGTACCGTGGAGCCACATGCTCATCTGTGCACAAACACCGATTCTTTTTAATCACTGTGATCTTCCTCATCATATGGTGCAGAAACTACACACACTTGTACGTTCACACACACACACACACTCAATGCACTGAAATTAGAAAAGCTATGGTATGTGCATTCACAACCCTCTCGCGTGCTCTAACGCACACTGAGTTTTCAGTTTATATGCATGTAAGGGTTTCATCTGTGTGTGTGTGTGTGTGTGTGTGTGTGTGTGTGTGTGTGTGTGTGTGTGTGTGTGTGTGAATACGTGGAAGGTATAATTTGAATTTCATCCATGTGGCACCTCATTTATGGAGGGGGTTGTTCGAGGGACTGTCCACTTTCCTTCCCTCTGTTTCTGCCCAGATATGCTCACTCAAGGCGAAAGCATGGACATTTTTTCACGACCGAAGCCTTTAAAAAAAGGGACAGAAGTGTATATCTTTCAAGAGCATGAGGTCTTGCGGGATGAGGCACGTTCATGCCAAGGAGCAGAAGTCTCTCAAAGGCACGGTTAATTCTACAGCTTGGACCCTGAAAGGGGAGAAGGTGTTACTGTTCGTCTCCCGTGGTCATGTGTAGGATTAGATTTGGGAGAGCATTGACCCTCCAACCCGTTTTTTTTTTTTTTTTGTGGGCAGCAGTACTCTACGTATCCCCAACCTTCACCACTCTCCACCTCTCTCAAAGCACACACACACACACACACACACACACACACACACACACACACACACACACACACACACATACACACCACAACCCTCCCCCTAACCTCCACAGGCCACACTGTCACCTCACATCCTGTCTGGGATATTCACTCAGGAGGGAGGAAATGAGGTGAAAAAAGAGAAGGGCTGGAATGAGAATGTCTCCCTGGGGCGTGGAAAAATCAAGAAAATGATGTTCAGAAATTCATAGATTTAAAAATGAGCAGCAAGCGGGAGGGAAGGAGAGAGGGAGCAGAAGGGTGGAGGGGGGTAAAGGGAGGTAGAGAAAGAGTTTGGGGGAAAAAAATCAAAAGAAGAGAGCAGGTTGGGCAGAAGAGAATCGAATGATAAAATTGCAAAAGGGAACAAGCGATGCAAATAAATAGGGAGTCATTATGTCATTATAGAACACAAACCTTAACAAAAAAGTATGCAACAAGTTGATATGTTTCATTTTGCTAGGTTATGTCTTTTTTTCCCACTAAAACTAAAAATTCAAGACTGTAAGCGAATAAATTCATGTGGACTTAGTATTCACACAGGGAGAAAAAAACGCCATGTCTTAATGCAGTCAGTAGATAAGAAGGTCTCAAACTCCGCTCAGCGCAGTATTGACAGCGTTTTATATTCCAGCCTGTTTCTACCCCCTGTAATGGTTATTTAGTCCCATATATTCCCTGCCACACATTTAAAGAATAGGAAATGTATGTGTGTGTATGTGTGCACGGGCGTGTGTACGCACACAGGAAGAAATTATTCTTCTGCAACCTATTTAAATACTGCTTGGGGTGATTCGTTGTAATTCATGTTTATATTACTAATGAGAAAATACGTATTGACTCTAAATACTCAGTTACTGATATATAATAAGGAGGGAAGCATTTTTTCAGTGCCCTGGATTTAGTTGCTTTAACCTTAATTCCTAAATTAGCAATACATCTTAATCATTTAAATACTGTGTTTGTATAGTAAGGAAAGGGATGAAAAAAAAACAACACAAAATCCCATAGGTGAGCATTTATTTGTTTAACTTGCCTGGGCTAACACTCTAGCTGGGATTATTTCTGCCATGAAGAAGATACAGTTGGTGTCGGGCAACAGTTGGCACCTTAAAGGCAGCTTAATTATCACAAAGTCTTTTTGTATCCTGCGTTTCAGCTATAGTATCCACATTTGGCATAACTGATACAGAGATGTGTTCTTGCTTTCATGCAGCCACTACTCAAATAGATAACTATATATCTATAAGATAATTCAAAGTGCAGTGTACTCAATGTTCCTCTAACCCCTAAAAATGGAAGCAACATAAGCTGACTTACTTTTTGTCAAAAGCTTCCCCAGTGTTTACTCTCTCCCTTCCCTTGTCTTAATCCCCTCCACTCCATGTCCCTGTCTGCTCTCCCTTTCTTGCCTCTGGCTTCAGCCATCTTCTCAAACAATGATCTGATTCTACGGTCGGTGCCAAAATTAAAATGTAACACAAACCCTGGTAGGCTGACAGGCTTCCATGTTGCCGCTGGACATTTTATATAAATCTCTTTGTTTTCTGAGGCAGGTTGAAATGTGACTCAGGAAAGCTTCCTCTGATGTTTAAAACTTTAGCTTATTTCAGTGGCCGTGAGAATTGAAGCTGACACCTGGACTCATTTTTATGCTTCCTCACTGGCAACAGTCGTGGCCGGAGGAATTACGTTTCAGGGGCATTATGTTTTCCCCTTCTCATGAATGCAATATCTCAGGAACACCTTGAGGTAATTTCATCTGATTTTGCACGAAAGTTCACTTGGACTAAAAGATGAACTGATTTAGATTTTAGTGGTCAAAGGACAAGGTCACTGTGACCTCACAAAACATGTTTTTGGCCATAACACAAGAATTCTTAAGCTAATTATGACACCATTTAACACAAATGTCTAATAGGATAAAATCTGATGACATTTTATACCCAGATGGGGAGATTGTGACCTTATTTCCTGCAACTTGACTGGTTGGTGTAGCCACATGCAATAATAATAATAATTCTAGTTTTTGTTTGAGAGGTACATGTTCACCACTTTTAGATTAGCTGACTCAGCAGCCAATCAGATAAGAGCTGAGAATGGTACTGAAATGTCAGCTGCCGTTATACCCATCTTTTGCTTAAGGCACGTTTGAGCAGGATGTGAAAAGATATCTCCTTCAAGTCGTACTAATGTAAAACTTAAAGCTACAATATGCAAGCTTTGGAAATCAAGTTAGTGCCAGAATGAGGCTCAATTGCAAACCCCTCTGCCACGCCCAGCCCTTCACCTACATCCTTGATGTGTTCGCTCTCTCAGCTAACGCAGGAATTGGGAGCTTGCTAGCTTGTGTCAGCCATAGCGATGTCATCCCAGCAGCTCATACTAGCTTGATGCCTCGGTGTGGGAGACCAGAACAGCTGTATTGATTGACAGCTGTGAGCTCTGCCCGCTTCAGGCCTTCTCTGATTGGTTAGAGGGGCGAGGCTCATTCAGAAACTTCAGAAGGCCGTGTCTCTGCGCTGCTGCCTGGCTGTTTAATGAGTCAGGGCCACAGAAGCCTTTGATAGCACCTCTCCACACCAAGATATCTTTTGGAGCGTATTTCAGCTGAAACATATTAAAATGAAAGTTACAGACTGTATTTTTGCTTAAAGTATTTAAA